TCTTCTTGGCTATTAATAACCCAATAATCCCATGAAAACTTACTTCCACCACGATGAAGAGGAAGTCAGATTGTATTGGTTATTGTAAAGAGCCATCGCTTGGAACACGCTGGGTGTCTCTATGTTTAAAAAAGGACACAGCAGTGAGAATGAGAGCTGAGAGGTACTCGGTTCAAATTCAGCAGCTATTTGAGGACCTAGTCCGTGCAGGATGCTCTGCCACTTGCCTAATATGCCAGACATAGGAGACAGATTTCTGAGACAGAGTAGCAATTCCTAGTCAATTTTTAGGACGCAGAGGTGGAAGGGTCAGTCAAGAGTAAAGCTCTCGTATGATTTCAGTGTGTTAGACAAAGACCCGCAGGATAAAGGCAGGGCTCTCAAGTTCGTTTAATGTGTTAAAACTTCAGGAGGACATATTACGTATGAGTAATCTGGGAGATATTAAAACTGATACCGTGGAGTATTTATATCTCCTGGAATTCTTTACTTGGGGTAATTTTTAACTGGGTGAAGCCAAAACAAAATGATTTACAGCTAGAGTGAGAGAATTTTTTTTTAAATTGCAGAATAGGAAAATACTGATGAATTTAATAATGTGATATTTCTAGTGAAAAAAGAAGAAAGGTGAAGCAAGAGAAAACTGATCTCTGCCACCAGCCTGCCTAGCTTGCATCCTTGGGTAATTAGCTTCTCGGCACTTCTGCATCTCCACCTGTGAAGTGAAAACAGTAACACCACTTTGCTAGATTAGGAGGACTATTTGAAGGGATGCAAGTCACATGGAAAGGTGTTGGGCGCAGAGTAGGTTCTCAATCCATAGCAATGAAAAACATCTGTGGATCCAAAGAGACCCAGAGTCTGAGTGGGATATCAAAACTTTCGTTTCTTTGAAGTCACTGTGGGGCGATTTTCTTTTCTTCTTATTATTATTGGTTGTTTTTCATTTTGTAATAACTTGACTCTCAGGAAAATTAGTATATCATTCTGCTTAACTGCAGGACATTTCAGCTTGATGGGTCACGGAGGACTTGTAAAGTGTTCTTTTTTCCCTCAGCCCCAAGATGAGCGGAGGACGGCTGGCTCTGAATTTTAAGGGCTGTCTGAGAGAAGGAATTTTTTGAGCCTTCTTCAAGTGTGACATTTGAAATGCTTTCTTAAATATGTGCATAATGTTCTTATATGTCATTTTTCAGCACTGCAAACGTTTACAGAAAGAACTGCCATTTTTTTTTTTCAAATTATAAACATACTGGGGCACCTGGTGTCTCAGTCGGTTAAGTGTCTGCCTTCGGCTCACGTCATGATCCTGGGGTCCTGGGATTCAGCCCCGCATCGGGCTCCTGGCTCAGTGGGGAGCCTGCTTCTCCCTCTCCCTCTGCCCCTCCCCCTGCTTGTGGTCTTTCTCTCTTTCTCAGTCTCTCAAATAAATTAAAAAATCTAAAAAAAAAAAATGAGTCCATTTCTTCTAGATTGCTTAATTTGTCGGCATATATTTGCTGGTAATAATGTCTAATAATTGTTTCTATTTCCTTGGTGTTAGTCGTAGAGCACGTGTTGGGATGAGCCCTGGGTGTAATACGCAACGAATGAATGGCTGAACACTACATAAAAAGGTTATGATGTACTATATGTCGGTTAACTGAACATAATGAAAAATAAAAAAATTATAAAAAGTAAAAAAACACAAACAAAAAATAAATTACCCTATCATACAAATGCTCTCCTTAAAGGAATTAAAATTTCACCCAAATGTGGGTGAGTAGCCTTCCTTGTGCAGACTGCACCGACCGGGAGTGAACAAGGCTGGTGTCTCTGTTTGACTGGGGGCTCACTCAGTCATGGTTACATTAAAGCAATGACTTGGAAACATCAAAAAACAGAAACAAAAACAAAGAAATCTAAAAAAAGAGAGCTTTAAAAAATTATAAAAACACGGGCTTGATTTTGGTTTCGAGGAGAGCGAAAGCTCTCCTTGGTTTTCGGTAAACCATTAAGAAGGAAGTCAGCTTCCTCATGGCCAGTGTCTGTGTTGCGAGTCCTCAGAAGCGCCCTAGTTATTAATCGTGTCCGTGATGCTCACATCATCTGCAGAGAACACCCAGCCCGGCTGCAAATGCACTGAAAGCTCGTGAGGAACGCTTCGTTCTTTGCCTCCCCTGCCATGGACCCACAGGCACACGTTATTAGGCTACAGTAAATCACACCAAAAAATAGAAATCTAAAATTAAATATTTAATTAGAACTCTGATTTGCTTTAAAGATAGGTGGCATTGCCCAGGCTATATTACACTCTCTTTATAATTCTTTTGACAAAAAAAGATACTGTTGATTTTAACAGGCCACTTTAATATTAATACATGTGTAATAGGATTGGAACTGAGAATCAGCTAGAGATGGTACATGGTACATTATTGGGAAAATTACAGTTTTGTATTGTAAAAACATTTATTTTTTTAACAATTTACCTACATTAATCAAAAAATTACAGCATATTTAATAATTTTACAAATTCTTCATAAAAAATATATCTCTGTACAAAAAGGTCGTTTGCACCTAACTTCATGTCAGCAGCATGTGGTGAGATGGTGACATGGGGCGGGCGGAGATGCGGCGGGTTTCCCGACCATGACACCGGCGTTCTTTCCCCTGCTTGAGAATCGCTTTTGTCGTTGTTGTTTACAAAATATCTTACAGAAGAAAACATTATTGCAGCTAGCCTGAAGAAAGGCAAAAGATGTGGGAAACAAGCAGCATTTTAAACAGCTCTGAATCACATAACCTGCGTTAGCGTGGGGTCCTTCCCGCACAGGGGTTCTGGTCGCTTCCAGAAGGAGTCTCACAGCCCCAGCGCAGGAAGCGTGCGCGCCGACTGCCTGCGTGAGACCCTCCAACACCTCGCAGGAGATCTGAATCCACACTGCACACACCCTAGGAAGAAACTAGGCAGAATCCTCGCAGGAGAATCTCATGGAGTATTTTTGTGGTGGTGGTTGAATACCATGCTCCAAGCTGGCAACCAAAGGACAGGCTGACTTTGCACACAGAGGAAAATGATATCTAATCGGATATGTGGTTTCTGTATGTGTGTATGTATGTCCTGTCAGTTCAGGAATTGGTAGCGGCATTGACCGGCAAGCAGGTCGGGGATGGGGGAAGAGAGACATTAATTCAGACTCTGAAGTCAGCATTTTGCACCTAGTTTGAATGACTCAAACTTAGATATGTACAATATATTTATATATATGTATGTATGTATATATATATATATACACCTAATATATATAGTAACCCTGTTCTCCCCTGCACACAACGATCCTCGAACTCCCTTTCTCTTTGTTCCGGTTCAGTGTGCGTGTTAGGAGCCTGGCTCTGGCCGACCTCGTCTAGTCTAAGGAGTAGAATCCGCGTGAGGGCTCCAGGTTGCAAAGCAAATCTCCAGTCACGTTATCAGGCCGGCCAGAGAAAAAGGGGCAGAGAATTCAGCATGATACTAAGGAATTTCATAATTTGGAGTTCAAAAGGCAAAGAAGTCACTAGAAGAGGTCAGGGATGCCCTCCTAACAGCATACGCCCCTTCAAACAAGTAACAAAACAGTGGGCATCGAGGATAAAAAGATCCACTAAAGCACTCAACTCAAAACACATGACTTGAAAGAATGAGCTATTATCCTGACAGGTTTTTGTGTCTTTTTTTTTTTTTTTTTCCCATTTTCCACTTTTGAAGTCCTGCATTTGAATGTTCAACAGAGCAATAAATCCATCAGTCGTAAAGCTAGGTGTGAATGTGTCCACTACAACGAAGTGAATGAGACACTTGGTGGATGCTGGTCTGGAAGGTGAATAGGGAGACATTTTCAATACGCGGGACACGTACTGAACACCCAAAGAATAAAATAAGCATAGTCTTTTCAAAATGCTTTTATCAAACCGTTATAAGTAAAAATAAACATGATCGTCACTTGGATTTTGTTACATCCACACTCTCATTGCCACGCCTTCTCCTTCATACTTGGATCTTATCCACACCGGGGATCATGCCTATTTTATTCACACCGTGATTTGAAACGTACCCAGCATACATTTTAAAGGTGAAAAATCACCTAAATCGCCTTCGTATCTGGAATTCGCATGAAACAAAAGACAAAGCAATGTATGAGAGGTGTCATCAGGAAAGAAGAGTGTGTGTGATTCTCCTTCGCCTCCAGAGAGACACCCGGTATTTTGATCCTAGACAAGTCCCACTGAGTGCGCAGTCGGTCCACGCCACGTCAGCGGGCAATGGCGCCCCGGGGGGAGCGAACCCCAGTGCATGGGGAAGACTACGGTGAGCTGAACCCCACAGTTCAGGAGCTATCTAAAATAAATTACTATGGACATGTTTACACGGCAGAGAGACATGCCACCACCGCCCTGCCATTCCGTGCCATCACGGGGGATGCCGAAAGGGAGAACGTGTGTGCGAAATAAAAACATAAAAAGGCCTCTTTTTTTTTCCTTGTTTGACATCTTCAATGAATTCAACACACATATGTAGCTAAAGGAAGCAGTAATAAAATAAATCTCTCCAATACCTTCAAGACCTGTGCTGTGTCTGGGGATACTTCCTCTCTCTAACACGCCAACTGAGCGGATGGTGGATGTTTAGCTTGACCACATGGGAAGATGCTTATATACAATGGATAGTGTGTATAAACCCTGTGTAAATAGTTTATTTTTTATCAGAATCTTACTCAGTCATTCATAACACACTAGTGCAAAAAATTGTGCATCAAAAATTCTGCAATAGAACAGCTGACTGGGGAATTTGCAAATGGCCCTAGGGATGGACACTGAGGGGAGCTGTGAGTCCTCAAAGCTTGTCAGGTCTCAGGAAGGACAGAGTGAAACGTTTGTAGGTGTGTGCGTCTACCAGAAAGGTGTCTTCTTCAAGAGAGCTTTTTTTTTTTTCCAGAGTATTCATATTCATGGGGGTTAAAAACAAAACAAAACAAACCAAAAACAGAGCAACGTATTGTGGTATATTGTGGTGCTACCATTTGTCACCGCACCCAAAGGATGTATCCACGTGCCCAGAAGATTGCATTGAAAGGCATCCCAGCCACACAGAAATACGAAAGTCTGAGGCATTAAGTACGAGCAATTGGCATGACTCGGCAGTCTCCCCTAAGGGTGCCTTGATTCCAAGCAGATGTCGTCAGGCATTCGGGATCCATGTTCAGAATGCAGGCGCATCTGTCGGTGTTCGCCGTCCGATCCTCAGAAGACTCTGGCACGTGACTGGAGATTCCCGCTGCGTGGATACCGGCAGATGTGAAAGATCACCGGGGCAAAGCCAAGAGTAGAGGGAGAGTGGTCTATGGCACCAAAGGAGTTCCCGCTTGTCCATCAGAGGTATGGCTATGAGTCAGTCCTAATGGGGCACTGAGAGCTATACCACGGTACACACCGTGTTCAGAGTCGTGTCAAACCGCACAGCCTTGGCTTCTGTGGGTTTTAAGTTCGTATCATACATGGGGTTTTCAAAGGAGGCCTGTCCGTTGCTGTTTTCATGTCCCGCATAGCCATTGTACTGAACTTTTGGTCTCGTTCTAAAGGGGAAAGAAGGAACAAAGTGTTAGAGCCCAGATTTTAGGAAAAGAGGCACAGCGGCTGAGGCTGGGGGCACGACATCACTCCCGACTCAGCAGGGAATACACACGCGAGGGCACACAGTGACGGGGAGGAGGGCACATCTCCACACGTTTAGACCGTTTTCCTTTTTAGAATCGGTGGTTGGGATGCTACAGGGCAGTTTAAAACGCTGAAGCTCTTTCCAAAGTCAAGGGATTATCTGATTCCTATTGATACTCTTGGCAAAATGGGAAGATCATCAATGCCGGCGTCGGACGGATGTTGGTTTTTTTTTTTTTTTAAGATTTTATTTATTTATTTGAGAGAGAGAGCATGAGCAGGGGCAAGAGACAGAGGGAGAGGGAGAAGCAGACCCCCTGCCGAGCAGGGAGCCCGATGCGGGACTCGATCCCAAGACCCTGAGATCATGACCTGAGCTGAAGGCAGACGCTTAACCGACTGAGCCACCCAGGTGTCCCCGGATGTTGGTTTAATTTGTCTGTCACTTGTAAGTTATATGACCCAGGGGAAGTCACTCCAAAAAAAGTAAGACTGCTCAATCAAGATGCCAACCCTTCAGGACTGTTCAGATTAAGGAAAAGAGAAATATAAACTTCAGTTCACTGCGGTTACCATGTTCACTAAAGGCTAGCTCTTTCTGTAATATAACATAGCCATGACCAAGTTACAGAAGAGACGTTGAACTCTTTGTCAAACTACTGGTTACATTTTCTAATTAAAAGAAAACCCGTGTGTATGACCTAAGATTAGAGATTGGAGGGTTTTTAGAGGTAAAAGATGTAAAGCTATGTAGTCTGCCCTCCCCAACCTTTTCCAGAAGAAATTACATCAGAAAACTATGCCAGGTGGTAAAAACAGAACTTTAATGTAAATACCCACACTAGCAAAAACATCACTGGATATCGTATTTAATGATGCTTCTGTTTTAGTGATTTACTAGTAGATTTTCTTAATTGACATTATGCTCATTGAGAAAAAGAGAACTCAAAGTGTGTAAGTTTCAGAGAATTAGGTTTTTGTCAGCAGAAAAGCAGTTTGCAACTGCCCCAGGACTTGGGGAGGGTGTTTGACATTGAACTTGAAAATGCTCCAGCAGCAAAAGTTAATAAACAAATTCAGCCAAACGTTAATGAACTTGAAAGCTGGCTAAAATCCCCATGTCATCTCCCAGGTCTGGGGTCCCCATCCCCGCACTGCCAGGGAAGCCCCACAGAGTTGGATGGGACCCTGGGGCCATAGAGAAGGAAGCGTGTGCAGGGCAGCGACGTGGGAGTCCTGAGTCAGGAGCCCTGGGTCTGATTGAGGGAACAATTCCAAGCAGAGGGTAATGAGAGAAACTCAGAAATGAGCGGGAACAGGGTTTTCACTCGAGAAATACAGATCCACCTGGTTAAGGAACTTTCACACCTGTAGAGGGTAAGGAGCCAGTGTTGGGAAAGCTAATAGTTTGGCGTGTTCCCTGGGTACACGGCAACAACTCAAACGAAAATGAATTCATGGCCTGCCTGGGGGATCAGGCATGGCCCGCTTGCTTCTGCAGAAGTCTCCCAATTCCTCCTACGGCACAAGCCCAGAGAACTACAGGAGCCTACGGATTCGGAGTCGCAGGAGCTTCTTGGCTCTCGAGAGCCATGAGATCAGACAGCCTTCTGTCACGTTCTAGACACAGCGCAGCCTCTTGGGTGGAGCCATGTCGAGAGCGAGACACGCTGAGATTAACCCCTTGCCAGCCCACGGTGTGGAAATGCAAAGGAGGGATCAAAGTCACCAGACAAGTAAGTGGGGTCTCCCTCCGGAGGCACGGAGGACTGAACATGGTAGGGAAGCTGCTGCGGTGGGAAGACAACAGGTGTGGTCTATATTGACTATTCCCCAATACTGTGTGGTCTTAAACTTAAGATCTCATCAGAAGTGCTGACTGGTTTATGTATACCTACATATAATTGTGTAGGGTTATCTTTTGAAAAGCTCAGAGAGGTGCTGAGAGGAGTTTTCTCTGAGACTCATATAAAGGTCTGCCTCACTGGGAGGCACATCGAGGCAAAACTCGTAGGCAGATGGGGACACTGTCGGACTCCCGCCTGTGGGTCTGGGCAGAGCAGACTTCAGGAGGATCCGGAGTCTCCCCTATGGACAGGCAAACATCAAAGAGTGGGGAGAAAGAACTTTAATGGACTGCACGTTTCCCTAGGGGTTAACATAGTTGCCAACAACAACAACAAAAGGCAAAAATGAATTTGTAAGAATTATAAATTCCTACTGTATGTGTATCTGTAAGGGTATTGTGGTTCCTAGAGAAACGTGTGAAAGAAGATACATTTGTAATTTATACTTCTTTAAGAAGAGAAGCACTTCTAAGGATGGAATTTTATTGGATAAGGTAGTGAGATATATATATATATATATATATATATATTTTATTTACTACATTTTCAACTAGCCCCAAAGAGAAATTTGAGGATAAGACCACACCAGACCAGACCTGTGTGCAGAGAATATTGTTTTCTCAAAAGTAATAATAATTAATACAGATGAGCCAAACTTCAATTTTGTTAAGTACCATCTGAGATTCCTTTCATTGAATTATATTTTTAAAGTAAGTACATTACCAACCGCAGGAAAGTGAAGACATCCATGTAAGCAGCTATGCAATAGAATTTTGAAGTAACATTCTTACTATTTTATGTATTTTTAAAAAGCATAAGAAAGCACATATTTATATCTATTCTATGAGTCATTAAAAAAATCCTTACACAGTTTTTATTTTAAACCAGGATTAAATAGAATATCTGTATTATATAAATGAATGTTGAGCACATTTAACATAAATTAATCTTATTTTAGGGAATCATAGAGGGGTTTTTTTAGGGTTTTTTTTTTTTTAATATATGTAGGGAATTCCACTATTACAAATAGTATTTTAAAACAGTTTGGCATATGCCATATTCTTCCAGGAAATATATTATCCAGATAAAGACAACATGCATAAGAACTTACAATTCCTTCACAATTTATTTTTGCTTTTTTTTTTTTTGGTGGGGGTGGTGGTGGCATCCACATTAACTCCAAGGAAAGGATCTATTTCATTAAAATCGTTTTTCTCGGGCGCCTGGGTGGCTCAGTTGGTTAAGCGACTGCCTTCGGCTCAGGTCATGATCCTGGAGTCCCGGGATCGAGTCCCGCATCG